CGAGCGCGGCGTCGCGGCTTTCCTCGAGCGGCCGAAGGGAGGCGACGCCGCCGATCTGCGCCGCCCTCCTTTTGCCAATTGAACGGCGCGCGTCCCTCCCAAGAGCAACTCTTCAAATAGGCCGTCGTGACGTCAGCGCCTCCGCTTCAAGGTCACGTCGGGCCTCCACACCAACCTTTTTTTTTTTGATGGGCTGCAGCAACTCGCTGCCACCCTCTCGGGAGAAGCGCCGTTGGAAATGGATGGATGCTTTCATTCCAATTGGACGAGTGAACTCGGAGACGCCATCGTCTTCGTGTTTCGTTCGCTTTCGCTCGCGGCTGCTTTTATTTGGGGAAAATCAATCGTATTTTCTGACGCCTAACGGAGCACCGTAGCGACGTCACCAGGATTTGTGCATTTGCCGCAACGCCGACTGGAAGCAACGTTCGGTTTTTCAATAATAAAGTGATCGAAATGTCAGGAATGTCTTTTTCATTCAATCGGAACGACCAAGGGAAAAAAATATCTATATCAGGTTAGCTGAGACCAACGTATACCCGTCGCGTTGGAGCTGAAAATTTGACAGCGGATCCACGCGATGGGTCTAGGGCAGCTTAAAACAGCGAGCCGCTCTTTTTAAAGGAGGCGCCGTCGAACGAGGACCCCCGCGTACACGTGGCGGTCGGTCGTCACCGCGGTCGTCGTCCGCCGCTTCCGCCTACTCGTGCGAGGGGGCCGCGACGCGAGCGGGCCAACGGCCACGTACCCGCCACTTTGTCCCGGATCAGCTTGGCAGACTCCACCTCGCCCACGTTGCTGAACAGGTTGCGCAGCTCGTCCTGGTTCATGCTCTGCGGCAGGTAGTTGATGATCAGGTTGGTTCTGGCGTTGTCGTCCTCCATGGCGTGCTCGCCGTAGCCGTTGTCGTACATCTCCTGCGGGCGCAGCGCCGCCACATGGTCAACAATTCGACACGCGGGCGGGCGCGCTCGCGCAAAGTCACCTTGGCCGCGGCGGCTCCTTGAGCGTCTCTGACGTCCTTCTGGGACGCCTGCACCTCGCACACCTGAAACACAGCCTTGGGGTTAAACGGTCACCTGCCGACACAAAAGGCATCGCGTTCAACTTTGCGCGTCCGCCACAGGCCGCCGCACGCGCGCGCACGTCGGGGGGCTTCTCTCACCTTCAAGTACCTGACGTGTCCTCGTCTCAGCGCCATGTGATTGACCGACCGACTGACGGATGGATGTCTGTCAGCCCGTCCGTCCCTGTAACAAAGTGGCAGGGCTGAGCGACGGCCCGCCGCGGGCGCGCGCGCGCGCGCTCTTTGCGCTTGAGAAAAGACGACGATAACGGAGGCCCCGAAGAGGACCGGCGTCAGACGCTGAAGGAAGGTCAAATATTCGGGCGGTGCCGCGGGCGTTTTGGATTTTCCTTTTGCGAATGGAACGAGCGGAGGCGGAGCGAGCTCGAGTCGCGCGGCGAGAGAGTTCGGAACCGCGCGGCTTTTCATTTGAACTGGCGAGCTTCCCCGATCATCCCGTCCGACCAATGAAATGACCGAACGCGTTACGGCGTGCGGCGAACCTCTCCCACGTCTGCCCTCATCCCAAAACGCAGGCGGCCTGAAAAGCGCCCGGTCCGCCTGTGTAGCGCGTTGCGGCTGCGTACGGGACGGCGGTAAGACCCCCCACACCCTGCCCGCCACCTTTTCCAGCGACCGCCCTCAGGCAAGCGCCACCGATCCGTGCGATCAAATCCGGCAGGCGGCCGCCCAAACGGCTTCTCCCCCGTCACCATTAAGTCCCTCAACAGTGACCCAAATCTACCCGCATGGTGGCTCGTTGCAATTTTGCACATGCCCGCGGAACAGCGTGACCGCAATAATCACGGTCGCTCCGGCTCTGCACTCACTTGAACCATTGTCGCCCATCTCGATGCCACGGCGCCAGACACTCGAAAGGACTACTGCGCAAGCGCACACTTGGACTTGCTCTCCAAACATTGCTACTGCTCACTTGAAAATGGTGCGATGATTGTCTGCACCGACTGCACAGCCGATCCAGTCTTGTATTCTGCCACTGATCACTTGAGCTCTGCTTGATCCTTTGCACATTGTCTGACGGCCGAACCCGAACAACGGGTCCAATTCCAAATGGCAGACTTTCTGTTAGCTTGAGCATAGTCTCCAAGAGACTTTTTTTGTTGGTGGGCTGCTACAAATACCTCCGACGGTTTGTCGTTCTTGGTTCGGGGGCGTTGTCGAGCCATTGGTTCAAAATCGCACAATAAGCGAATAAAATATTGACGCGGTTGCCAAGCACGGACGCGTTTCCAAATTGTCATGAGTTTGCCTGCAAAAAGGAAGGCTTTTTGGGGAAACGGCACATTGCCGTGGCAACAACTTACCATGACAATGGACTAACTTTGCGTCGCGACATCATAAAAGCCTAGACACTCTTCTGAACAAATATGAGGTCAACCTGCTTGGAGGAAAACATCAAAGAATAAAACATAAATAAAACAAAGTTTCTCGGGTGCGCTATTGGGCCATTTTTTTTCCCTTTGCACAATAAATAAACAAAATAGTGACGGCCCTGATGAATGTGCAAAATGTCACGAGCACATGTTTCGATCCTCCAAATCGGCCTCGTTTTATTTGCAAATTGCGCTGTGCCGCAGCAAGGGGCTTTTGTGAAAACCACAAACTTCATGAATGCCGAAACACTCTCTTGGTTAACCTGCTAAGAGAAAAATATCACATAAAACACGTTCCTTTTAGCCAGTAGGTGGCGCTAACACTACAATGAGAAGTAAACCCGTAGATTACTTCAAGGCTGGACTTTCATCAAATGCAGGCATTTCGAGAACATGGGATTAACGGCAAGTACTTGAAGTTGCTCTTGAGATCGAAAGGCTAATCGCTCTGAAAAATCTTCTCAAACAGTCTTAGTTGTTCTATCATTTACGAGTTGTAAGCATGGTAACTTTATGAATAAAATATTGGTCACAAGGTGGAGTCATACTTTTGTTAACTGGTAGGCCCAACGATGACGTGCGGTCGATTCTTTGGTCAAATTGATCGTAGATGACACGGTGCGTCGTCTTGGGGTTGCAAAGAGGACGTCAAGCCGTATCAATGCTATAAGTCGATATAAAGTCATAAGGTCATAGTTTTGAAAAGATTCATCACATCATTCAATTCCCATTACATGCTTTCGTATTAATAAAGGAGGTGAGTAGCCATTGATATTATGTTTATTGACATAAATAGTACACACACACACACACACATCATGATGTTAACCGTGTCAGGTTTCCTTGTGGCCATGTTATCTAGCCAGGACTGAAGTATCGTGTACACGTATGTGTTTCCGGTGACCATCGTATTTCATCGTAATTGATGTATTCATGATGACCAGTAAGTTCATCTTTGCAGTGCGAGACTGGAAAAAATACTTTAATTTTGTGCTATGCTGTATTCATGACGCCATATGAGTACAATAAAGGTGTGAAACAACATATTTTGATCCAATTCTTCTGCTGAATAAACCTGGAGTACACAGCTGCCGATGCAATTATGTGCATCGTTTTCAAACATTTGCCCTTTAAATATGCTACTTTTGAGGATCACAATTCTTGAAGATGAACATCAGTCAAAGTAGAGAAACGAGTTCCCATGATGAACGTTGACGGAACCCCAAATTGGTTTCCCATTGGATCATCTAACGGCACCGAAAAACAGTTTGCGTTCGTTCATTCGTGAACTCCTCAGGCCTGTGCGTGTGAGGTTCGGGATTTCGTGGAGCATGTGCAGGGGAGCTGTTAAGCATTCCCTCCTTTATGGCGAAAGACGTACGAAAGTCAAATTCGGACGCCCTGAGCGACGTACGGGAACTCGAATTGACCTCCAATCCCCAAAATGCACAGAGCGGCATTTGAACCCGTGTCGCGACAGACTCGGAGTATCTTCGGCAAGACTACTCGAAACAACTACGCCATGAGCGGCTAGACTTTGAACAGCAAAACGCTCCGTAGCGAGTTACGGGTCACGGCAAAAATAACCAGGGCGGGTTTTTTTTTCTCCTTCCTTCTACAACAACAAGCCACTTTATTTGCGACATGATGCTAACTCTGAGTGATAAACGCTCGAATAGTTTGTCTGATCGTGACAAGAAGTGCCCGTCGCGTTTCGTCCACGCGTCGCTATTTGGTGATTTTGAACGCCACCTCGACCAAACGGAGGCGAGCGTGACACTTCCAACGAGAATACACCGACAGTCGCAACGCGAATGAAAACCCGACTTGGCGGATTATGCTAAGGTTGACCTCGGGAGACTTTAAAATGCGTTCGCGTTCGTGTGATGACGGCCACGAGCTAGCAGCTAACGTTAGCATCGGAGCAGACAAAGAAAATGATGGCGGGAAGAGGCACCGACAAATTCTTACCTGGAACGACGAAAGGATGACAACGTAATAACGTCCGCCGCGTTAAAAGATTCACAAGGTCTCAGAGGCAATTCGACTTCGGCCCGAACGCAAGCTAACGCTAACAGGCGCCTTCCAAATCACACCAGCGGGAAAAAAGGCACTCCGGAAAAATTGTGCGCAACGCCGCAGTTTTTTTTTTCTTCCCACCCTCCCGTCTTCCTTTTCCCCTCCTCCCCCGCTTTTTTCTTCTTCTTCTTCTTCTTCGCCTAGTTCTTCTTCTTCGCCTTCTTCTTCTTCGCCTAGTTCTTCTTCTTCTTCTTCGCCTAGTTCTTCTTCTTCTTCTTCGCCTAGTTCTTCTTCTTCTTCTTCGCCTTCTTCTTCTTCTTCTTCTCTTCGCCTAGTTCTTCTTCTTCTTCGTCGTCGTCCTCTTCTTCTTCCCTCGCCCAACACCCATGCTACATTTTTAGTTGTATTTTTTTGCTGTTCTTTTTTATCTTTATTGAACAAATAAATTTAAATTTCACTGTAAACAAAACGAACAAGTTATTAATACACGCGCAGATTACATAGAGTTAAAGCGTGAAATGTACATGACATCGTGATATCATCTCATTTAGAAACTGTAACGTTGTTCTCACTTTCATTTATTTACTTTTTCTGTGCCGATAAAAGTTGGTGCGAGGAGATGTGCAGCAGTGTTTATAAAGTTTCAATGAAAAACAAAACCGCGTCTTGGTCACGGTCCTTTTCTCCGGTGACGGAAGTGACGCCACAGCTCCAAGAAGAGGCCCAAAATGTCGGCCCCGTTGGAGGTGGTGATGAGCAGCGACGCGAGCTCTCAGCTTTGGAACGTGTCCGTGTTCGACGTGCATAGCGGCTCCAGCCTGCTGTCCTACCGCGGCGGCAACAGTTCGGCCCGGACGCTGTGCCTCGTCAACGGCCAGTACCTGCTGTCCGCGCAGCTGGCCAAGAACTTCATCAACGTTTGGGAGATCCACAGGAAGGTAGCGAACGAGAGGCGAGCCGACACTCCGCATCCCTCGCGTCAGCTTAGCTTCCCTTTGCTTCGTTTGGGCACCCGCCAGCCGCCCGGAGTCCCGCCAGTCGGCCACGTGCAAAATGCGGCCATACTGTTTGGGTGTATTTCCATCCTTATGCTTTGTACTTTTTGAGGGGGTGGGGGATGTGCTTCTCTGCTGTTTCAACAACGACTGGCTTGTCCATCCACCTCAAATGAAGTGCGTTGTGTTTGTGCGGCGGCGGCGGCGCGCAGGAGCAGCTTCAGCAGAAGATCGTTTGTCCGGGTGCCGTCACGTGCATCAGCGCCTCAGCGGACGGCGTTTTCTTGGCGGCCGGCGTGGGCGAAGCGATTTATTTGTGGGAGGTGAGCTGCCGTCGCCGGCGTCGTCGTCGTCTGCAGGTCCGGCCGTCCGTACGTAATGTTGACGAGCTTGCCGCTGCTCGCCGGTTGGCCAGGTGTCCACAGGCAAGCTGTTGTATGTGGTCACGCGTCACTACCAGGACGTTACCTGTGTCAAGTTCACCGATGACGGCAGCCATTTTGTTTCTGGAGGGAAAGACAGTGTGGTTCTGGTGTGGAGTCTCAGCAGGTAGCAGCACTGCCTGGCGTCCATTTGGACTTGGCCAGCACGCCGGCTAAGTCCGAGCCAGAGTCTCTCTCCACCTTTCGCTCAAAACCCCCGTGTGTGTGTGTGTGTGTGTGTGTGTGTGTGTGTGTGTGTGTGTGTGTGTGTGTCTCGCAGTGTGATCCAGGTGGACTTAAGCTATGCCCCTGAGCCTCGTCACATCCTGTCTCATCACTCTCTGCCAATCACAGACCTCCACTGTGGCATGATGGGAGCTCAGGCCCGAGTCGCCACTGCGTCCTTGGACCAAACGGTCAAGGTCAGACTGATGTCATCATTTCAAGTCAATCTCCTGCAGAACCTTCAAGCTTAGCGTGTGCGTGTGCGTAGCTGTGGGAGGTGTCTTCAGGCGAACTCCTGCTCTCGGTGCTCTTTGATGTAGAAATCATGTCCGTGACCCTTGACCCATGCGAACGCTTCCTGTTCTGCGGCGGCAGCGACGGGAACATCTTCCAGGTTTCTCTGGGCACCCAGGTCAGTCAAGGCCAGTATTTGATCGAGTGCGTGCAAATCGCGGCACGGGGCGTCGCGTTTCTATTGGGACAAAGCGCCACGAGCAATGCGATCAAAAAGATGAGCTGACTCAGCATTTCAATCGGCAGAAATGATCACAAATGCCCATTTGTGGCTGACGCGCTCCCTTCTGCAACAAAGCTTTGGAGTGAAACAGGCCCCCTACGCAAGCGTATCGAAGCAAAGTAGTTTCGCGATGGTCTCAAAGCTTTGAATCTTGAAGGCGGCGTAATGTTGAACAGTGACCGCGGAGTCGGAAATTCCGCGGCTTTTTCGTGGCACGTCGCCGACACCGGAAGTTTCGGGAAGTCTTTAGGAAATTTACTGTCTGCTTGAGGATTTAGAAAAGTGTTAGCGCACAAGTGTGCATTTTTGGAAATTGTCCAAAATAAGCACCCCCCACCCCAAAAAAAAAAATTGAAATTTCATCTCAAGGCGCTACCGTAGGGCAGTTGCATGAGAGGCGTTTGGGCGTGAATGAGCCATGCAGCTGTTATTTGAGGATGTGGAGCAGCTTTGACGTGCGAGTTGGTTTGCAGCAGGGCGCGGCGGCGGATAAATCGTTCCAGTGCGACGGCGAGGGGAAGCGAACGTTCAAAGGACACAGGTGGGCAAATATTACCCCAAGCCCTTGTGGGATGGAATTCAGTTCTTGCGCTGACACGCTGCCCCCCCCCAACAGGAAAATGGTCACCTGCCTGTCCGTGTCCATGGATGGGACGCTCCTGGTGTCGGGATCGCACGATGAGTCGGTGCGAAGTGTCCATTTTTGGAAATTGTCCAAAATAAGCACCCCCCACCCCAAAAAAAAAAATTGAAATTTCATCTCAAGGCGCTACCGTAGGGCAGTTGCATGAGAGGCGTTTGGGCGTGAATGAGCCATGCAGCTGTTATTTGAGGATGTGGAGCAGCTTTGACGTGCGAGTTGGTTTGCAGCAGGGCGCGGCGGCGGATAAATCGTTCCAGTGCGACGGCGAGGGGAAGCGAACGTTCAAAGGACACAGGTGGGCAAATATTACCCCAAGCCCTTGTGGGATGGAATTCAGTTCTTGCGCTGACACGCTGCCCCCCCCCAACAGGAAAATGGTCACCTGCCTGTCCGTGTCCATGGATGGGACGCTCCTGGTGTCGGGATCGCACGATGAGTCGGTGCGACTGTGGGATGTCCAAAGCAAACAATGCGTCCGTTGCTTCGCTCACAAAGGTGTCCTGTCCTCCCTTCCGTTCCGGCAAAAGCTCCCGGGATGCCCGCCAATCGGGCGCAGGCTCCTTTCACTTTTGAGTTCGATAGCGAACGAGTGGATGTCGTCGGACCGCCGCCGCCAACGAGACGGACGATCCCGGTAGATCGAGGTCTCGCAGTAGATTACACCATCTGGATTCTAAAGATACCGCTTATTGTTTCACGATGAAAGCAAACAAACGGCAAAGGAGCAATGTTGACTTCCAGTGATGCACTCTTAGTTTGCACGAGTACGGTTCAGAACTCGCCACAGGCTCAACGACGCGCTCGCCAGAGTCCGACAGCGAGGAGCCGCTATTTCTGTGGGGGTTGCAGCAATTATCTTGTCCGTGAATGTGGAGCGATTGTTTCTGGTTTGCTCGAAAAATTAGGAGGGGAGAAAAAAAAAAACCTGGGCAAAACGTTGAGCGTTGTTTTCCAAAGTCTCAGAGCACGCCTGCAAATCTTTTCTTCTGACGGAATACGGGCAAAGCTTTAGTGCCGGTTAGGCTGACATTGGGATGATTTGAAGCTCAGCGAGGGCGCCGGACGATGAACGAAAATAGCGGCCGATCAATTTGACGAGACGTCGCCGCGAGTCGGACTGCGGACGGCTGCCGGACGTGACCTGGACTCTCTTGCCGGTTCTGCTTTGCCTTCAGGCCCGGTGACGAACGCGAGCATCGTGGTGGCTCCCGCCAACATGTTCCTACCCGACTCGCGACCCTCCGTCCCCCTGCCGCGATTCAGCCGCCACCAGCTGGAAAGCGACGGCGGCCAATCGGGCGAAGCGTGCGTCCGCCTTGGACTCCACGCTCAGGTGCTTCCTAACCCTTCCTACTCGCGAGCGCAAACGTTTTGCTCGGGGGCGGCTCGAAGGGTCGCCGACGACGGACGGGAGCGCTCGGCGTTTCCGAAAGAACGGTCGGCGTCCGTCGCCGGGAGCCGAATCCTCGCTTCTGATCTTTTCTTTGGCTCCCGGCAGGAGGAGGAGCCGGCCTACCTGCAGAAAGCCGACAGACTCGACGCTTTGATGAACGGCGCGACCGACAAGGTGAGCGGGCGTCGCCGCGGTCCGGCGCGAGAGGTCGCGCCGCGCCCTTTTCACCGGCCGTCGCTCTTTTCCCCCCCCAAGTGGCTCGCGGGAGACGGCGAGAACGGCAAAGCGCGCGTGGCCGAGCTGGAGGAGGAGGTTCAAACGCTGAAGAAAGTCAACAAAGATTTGTACGACTTCTCCAGTCAGCTGCTGACCAAAGCCACGTGAGGCGTGGGCACGGGGTCTCCGTTCAAGCCAATAAAAGTGCTGCCGCTCACGTCGGTCTCCGGCTCTTTTGAGGAACGAGTCGCCCGGCGGCCGGCGCGCACCTCCTCGAATGACGTTTGGCCGACGCGAAGGCTTGATTTGTCTCGATCGTGAACAACGCTGCGACGGGACATATGGAGACGCCACGCTTTGCCCACAAATCTCGGCACTGGCGAGCTGCTTTTATTCGGATCGTTTTCAACCGCGGGCCCGTCGCTCGGCCTCACTCCCGCCGCGGTTCGAACCGCCGCCCCTCCCGAGAGGGTGAGCGAACGATTCCTTCTCGAGAGTCCAAAGAGAAGTCGGCTTTTGGCAAGGTGGCAAAAGGCGCGGGCGGGCGAGCGAGCGGGCTTTCAGGCGAGCGTGGGCGGGACGCGGCGCCACAGACCTCCACACAGGCAGTTTTTGATCCAGCGCTGCTCCCACTGCTTCATCGCGTTGCTGTTGTTGGGCGAGCGCAGCATGGTCACGCAGCCGCACCTGCAAGCAGCCGCCGGCCATGAGCTGCGTCCGCCCTCGCGGGGGCTCCGTCCCGCTTCCCGCGCGCTCACCTGGTGCAGGCCTTGCTCTCCTCCGTGGGACAAACGCCCATGTGGACGCATCGGAGGTTGTCTGTCCTCTGGCCGCCGACGCTCCTGACGCGCGCGCACAAAAAAAGAAGAAAAGCCCGTTTAAAATACAGGGTTTTGTTTTTTCTTTCTTCCTGGACGAATCCATCCCGGAAAGTCTGATCGCACCCCAAGTGTACCAAAAGCAAAAAGCAATTCTTTCCCGTCGGAAATTGTGTCCGGGAAATCCAATCCATCTGTTCAACACCCAAAAAGAAGCACAAAATACACCACCTACCTTTGTCAGGGTGATTTTTTTTTTCTTTACAGCAGTGAAAGGTCACATTTGCGCTCGTGAATTTGGAAATCTGGTGAATTTTCATGCGACGATTTTCCAAGATGTCCCGGGTGCCAGCGTTCGTGAATTCAAACTAACAGGTTTGAAAAACTCTTTCAGGGACTAAAACAAAAACGACCTGAAAGTCCATCCTAGCATCGACAAAAGCCGTGACTTTTCTTCGGCCCGCGCTTACCTGGCGAGGGCGTCGGACGAGGCGAGCGCCGCCGTTTTGCCAAAGTGCAAGCGAATGGGCTGCTTGCCCTGCAGCTTGACGATGACGCCGTCGTTGACGGGGAGCCAATCCATGCAAGGCACCAGCAGCTGACTGGGGAGCAGGCAGCACTCGTCGATCAGGCTCTCGTCGGGGTCCTGAGGGGGGGCGTCGTCCCGGCCTGCCGCGCGCAAGCGCAAGCCACGCGTTAAGACGTCTCGGCAATTCGGGGATATTTTTTCTCCCCCCAATTCCGTCCCTCTTCGGCGCCCCGGAAATAAACGCGCACGTGTGCAAATCAAACGCGAAGATGGATTCGTGACTCACTTTGAAGACGCCCAAAACCGCCTCAAAGCGCAAAGGACCGACGACGTTGTGGCCACGGTTACGAGGCCAAGGGAAAAGATGCTCTTAATTGCCCCCGCGCGAGCTTTCCGTTTGCAGATATGGATGGCACGGCGCTATCGGGAGCCGTTGGGCACGCCCGGTCTACCGTACGCGGCAACGGTTCCCAAGAGCGACCCGCGTCATTTCCCGCCGGCGAGAACGGCCGCTCCAAATGACAAATCCGTTGTCAGAATCGCTGTCGATGAATTTGATCGAGGGTGACCGATCATGCGCCGCAAGCGGGCTCCGGCTTGCCCGTCACCGGCGGGACAGATGCGCTTCGCTCTCAGGCCCCCCGCTGCCGCGGTGCGAGGGGGCCGCAAAGAGGAGGGAGGGACGGACGGCGGCGACGGGTTCTTACAAGTCAGCCACAGCTTGGTGAGCAGGCGGAAGAGCAGCTGCAAACTGTCCTGGCTGTCCGACGTGGCCGTGAAGGTGGGAAGGCAGCCGGGCTTCAGCAGCCCCCAGATGCGGATCATCACCAGCATCTCCCGCAGCATTCCCAGAGAGGTCCCGTCCCGCATGAAGCCGAAACCGGGCCGCACCACCGAACCCTCGACGAGACGGGAAGTCAGTCGGCGGATCGGCCGAGGGCCCGCGCCCGCGCCCGGCCCGCCGCTCACCTGGTTGGGCAGATTGGCCAGCAGGTAGAGGACAAAGTCGCCCACCCACTGGATGAGCTGCTGAAGGGACTGCAGCGGGGCCCCGTCCAAGACAAACTCCTCCGTCTTCAGGTTGATCATCACCTTGTCGATGTCTGCCGACACGGCGGCGGACAACTTTGCTCACGCGGTTCGCGCGGCTCCACGCGCGCAAACCGCGCCCGCCGACTCACCCGAGTCCACGTTCTTGGCGCAGAAGTCGCTCAGGCGGTCTCCGGGACTTTTGTCCAGGGTGTGGAGCACGTGGGGCCGAAGCAGAGACTTGAGGGTGGAGCTGATTGCGATGAGCAGCAGTTTGGCGTGGAAGTCGCAGGCCCGCGCCGCCGTGGCCGTCGACAGTTTGCACAGCGACGCCTTGACCGCCACGATGCGCGTGGCCAGGACCTGCTGCAGGGCCTGGTTTTGCCTCATGTACTCCTCGTGGAGTTTGTCCACCAGGTTGTGGACCATGCCGGGCTGCACGTGCAGGAGGACGTCCCACCAGTCGTAGCCCGTCACCATGCAGTACTCCAGCAGGAACAGCAGGTGGCGCAGCGTGGTGTTCATCTCCAGCACTTGACCCATAGAGGGCGACACTCGCAGCATGTGCAGCTGAGGGCGGAGGGCGCGCGACGCGCTTGCTTAGCGGCGGAAAGGGACCAAAGCGCAAGCGGTCGAGTGGCGCTTTGGCGCGACCTTCCACGCGACGCAAAAACGCGCGATTGCGCTTACCTTCCCGTGATTGTCGACTCCGGCCAAGGCCAGCGACGTCCAGGAAAACTGCAAGGCCTTGAAATGGAGGCCGGGCGCCCCCGTTCGTTGGCGCTTGACCGCCGACTCCTCTCCCGGCCGCTGGCCCGCCCCGGCGGCGGCGGCGGCCGAGCCGTAGAAGACGCCCATGGTGTGCAGCGACAGGCGGTGGAGGATCTGGATGG